TAGCGCGTGCAACGTCGATTGTTGTATCGTGGATACAACTCAAACCAGCTTTGCTTTTACTAACTATATGTTAAATTTTCCCTAATCGTAAATTAATCAAAAATTTGAGAAAAAGAAAATACCAAGTAAATTGTGCATTAATTCATTCTAAATAATAATTTCTTATTAGCTTGAAATTGATAAGTGATCAGGTATTTTACATTACTCATCCCTTAAGATTTCGGTTTAATTCTATTCCGAGTAAAATTATTTTTCATTATAGTTGTATTGTTGAAGTTTTGAAATTATTGTAATAGTAATTTTCACGGTATAGTAACGGCAATTACGGGAAGTTTATGACAATGTAGGCAATTACATTTGCAACGCTTGCTGTAATCATGAGTATAAAAGACTGAATTCTCGTCGTATTGAGCGCTGTTGCGCGTCGCTGAAGTACAGAAGTTTGTGTTTATGTTCCCATCACGTAAATGAAACGGCAATTCCGCGTCTGTTTCTTGCTTCAATTTTGTTTGTTTCCTTATTCAGTTCCATCTGTTTCCCTTTCATAAAAGTTTCCCGTTTTCTAGGCACAGAATCAATGGATAAATGGACCCATATGCACTCATGTGATGAGGAATCGATCTCTTGATCGTCGATCTCAGCGTCCTAAGCACTTAACCGCTCTCGCTTCATCCAAATTCATTTCAAATCTCGCAATCACTGCAGGATTTTATGGGCGACCAGTATTTCAGTGTGATCCTCGTCCCAAGGATCTGTAAGGGAAAGCAATCTAAATTGGATTAGCAGATCAAAGGACGTCATCAACTTTTATACCGCCCTCCTCGATTTCGTGGGACAATATCGACGCATTCGGGGACCAATCCAGTTTTTAGGAATCATTAAGAAGAAATTCGCGACTCTCAGTTCTAGTGACCCCAACCTTTACTCGCTGAAACTAATCTGAAACTAGGAAATATTTTCAGCATTCAATTCCATTTTAAATTAATTTTGATATTGATGGCAAAAATTCTTTGTACTTAATTACAAAGGAAACTTCAACTGATTGTTTTTGGTCAACTGATATTCTGAGGTTAAATTTTCACTTATTGCGCGTAGGTTTTATTATCTACGTGCAATTTCAACGAACATAGCGTTATAAAAAGCTACTAGAAAGGGGATGCTGAAGCCTGCATGCACGCCCATACAGCGTGCATAATCTTCCTAATTTGTCATTCGAAGCCCACGTGAACAACCTTTGTCACCTCATGCCGCTCCTCGCGTTGAACGACTATTAGGTGGAACAATTCAAAATAAGTGGGCTCGAGGTTTCTGACTGCCGGCAGGTTTGTCTGATGGTTTTATTCTTTTTTTTCTTTATTGCTTTCGCTAATATATTTTGAATTTTTTAGGGGTATTTATTTAATGAAAAAGAAACTTTTTATTGAGGTAGATAGGTGATGCTCCGAGTCATTATGTATTAACAATGTTTAAGCCTATTGAAAGCAAATAACTCTGTTTCCTATACTACAGATTTCTTTCCTTCACAGATTCATACATTACGAACTACAGTTATGAATACCAATGAATTTATGTTCAGACGCATACCAACTGGAAAAATAGAAGAATGTGCCATATTTTCAGCATGGAACTTAAGGTGATTCAAAAAGTTTCGCAGCAGCATGCACTAGAACAGTCAACATTGCAGATGAGTCAACCTGACTTAAAAATACACGAGTTAAAATACTATGTTAAGAATGAAAACATTGGTTTTCTTAGTGTATTAATATGATACTCGTGAGTTGAAAAAAGTGCAGTTAAATTTCACGGCCATGAATGAAATAAAATTTCTTAGAACATAAATTTTTTTTCGGGCTTTCTGCGATTAGTGAAAAGCTCAGGAATTTATGATTTTGTTATTTTAATCTCAGGTCAACAATAAAGAATCATAAATCCTTTTTGGGGGCAATGGTCTCGAGAATAAGTTTTATTTTCTGATTACAGTGCCTTAACATTTGAACGTTAAACGTGTTCGACCTGGAACGAACAATTATTGAACTCCGAACAATTTTCACTGTCCATGAATTTTCAAACGAAGGAAAGTAATGAATAAACAATTGAAAATGACTGCGTACTTATATAGTGAGCTGCTCGTCTAATGGGGGTTGGCTGACTAAAATAATTTATTGATGCTCTAGGCAGAATCCATGTTTCGGTGAAGAAAATGGCGCTATATTTTCAACATTAGATGATGTTTGCTCTTTGAACACGGTAATATGAAAAAAATTGGTAGTCATTTCATCTAACGGTCATTGTTTCTTACGAGAACAATGCCGACATTCTTTAATGCCTACACTCATTAGCATTTGAGTCGCAAAAACTGCGTGTATTCTTATATTTGCACTGGATGTTCAGAAGTCACTAACGCGCCACGACAGTTTTGACTGATGACAGACCCAGCATGTCAGTGTCACAGTTGCGTGATGCAGCCTACACGTCAGTGTTCAGTGTTCACGCTCAGCTGTCAGACATGCATGCATCAATCACGCCAGTACGTGCGTGTAGCGATACGATTGATGCGGTCACACTGCGGTGCCAGTTTTCATCGCGAATATCGAGAATGGTTCAAATGGACAATAATCTGACAGAGAAATGATCATTAAATTAGCCAACATGAGCCGAATCAACGAAATTATTTTGTTCGATGAATTGGAGATAAGCCTTAATCGATTACATTCACATTAATTAGATTAAACGAACTTTTTGTATGATTACAGCAAATGTTGTAATATTAAATAAAGTTTATTCATCCTCTCATTCGATTGACGATTTTTTTGTGCAGTGCGGATATATAATTTCTAACTCATTAGTATTACAAAATAACTGAGGAGATGAAAACTCTCATTCGATAGTCATGAAAAATATGAATAATTCATAACCTTTGCCGGAAAAAAACTGTTAGAAATAAAAGTAAGAATCTAACTTTGCCTTCATTACATGATGTTTAGAGAATAATTCCGACTCCAGTTGGGTAATAAAAAATTCACTTCATCAATTATGTGTCAAACTGCTCGTGATGAGAACGAATCTGAATTTATGTAACTCAATTTTACTTACATGCGGTAATAAGGAAGCCAGCATGCAGTTAATTAAATCTACCTGATTCTTTACGGCTATAACTTCCTTGAAACAAGTCTCGGGCCAGTTGAAAAACTTCGTCTCAACTTTTGATGGCCCACTCGAGTACGCTTCTGCAACAAAAAAACTTTAATTTTTGTGATGTTTTTTACTACAGCCACTCATCAAATGCTGAGCGAGGCTCTTCTTTCACTACAATAGTGCAGAACAACCGCTCTAATTTTGTTCAGCAGGATAACTTACGTTGATTTTGTGGTAATTTTGCAGTGATGTAGAATACATATGTGGCTGATAAATTAACAGATACATTTTTGATTAACGATATTTATTTATTAATACTCTAAAGAGGTTCTGATTTTATAAAGTAGCTTAATTTAACAGTTGGCAATTTATGTTTATTTAACTCTGAATAATAATTTTGTATTGATATCCTTCCCGGCAAAGATCGTTATAATTATTCGTTTTTACATTTAAGATCATATTTTACTTTATTAATCTGGCTGTTTTAGCGACATTCAATTGAAATGGATTCATTCATTCTAAACATGTGGAGCTAATAACAATTTTGTTCTTTTTTTCAGGGTCATTTTTGTTATTTGTTCTTCAAATTGCAGTAGGTCTTCGCGAATTTTTTTTACGTTCCTGATTTATTGATTACGTATTTTTTATGGAACTATTTCCTTTGCGAATATCATTAACATAACAATAGCTCTGAGCTGTGACGTGAACTACTATAACCGCAAAAAAAGAGTTTAGACTTGATTAGTTATAAGATAAGAATTTCAACGTAACATAACTTGATTAGTTAATGAGAGAAAAATTATTCCAGAGAGATCGAGGGAATGCACGGCCATCCAATCAACTTAGTGAGTGTTTGTTGAAATCATGAGAGCTCTTCTGGTTCAACAAATTGAAGTCAAAATACCTGAATGTTTTGTTAAATTGCGGTACGAACGTCAAGTGTTGTTATTTTCGATGGAACAGAACTATGCGTGCAGGCAAATAGTGCGAAGTAATGCAATGCTCTAATTAATTTATAAGGCGACTCTGCATTTGAAATCACTGCAATGTGAGGGACTTTAAATTTCTTTGAGCTTCCATGTAATTTTAATTTTGCTAAAATCTCTGCACCGCTTGATTCTAATGCATTTTCAGGCTTAATTTTCCATTTGATGATTAAGTTCATATTTTTTTCAATTCTGCACAGCTGATTCACGAGTAATTACGTGATGAATAATAGTGTGACTTTTCAACTTCTATGCAATGGTTCTTTACAACAACTTTTACAGTTAAGCAACTTGAACTAAGTTTGAAATCCTCTTCTCTTAAAATCTACATCCGGGCACTCAATAATATAATCGTCGAGTTCCAGATCCTGCATTATTGAAGATCGCGTTGCAAACTAACGAAAGAAATTCAAATCGATAAATGGTATTGTTTTTCCTGTGTGTTACCGTACAGACTTGATATTTTAGACTTTGTGAGGATCAGATAAATACCGTCATCGGTGCTACGAAACTGTTTTTCAACTTGGAGTATAATACCTGCATTTTCTGCGCCTATTTCTACTGTTAATCTTTTGTTTGGTTCTTAAGTAGTTTCACTTCATTGGGAACTAAATTCCGGCAATGGATTATTCATTGCTTCCTTAATCGAAGTAGAAATCTTGTTTCATGTGCAAGTATTCGAAGAAGTCCGACTTTTTTAGATGAGAAGTTGGACTGAATTATGAAGAAAGCGGTTCTCTCTCTAAGCTGAAACAACATAGAAAATGTCCTACGCCGATAAATGATAATATCAGAAACATTGCTTACAGCTTCGAATTATACCTTTTTTAATAAAACCTTATAGAAGCTTAATTTCTCGGGATGGAATGAAACGTTATATCACATATATTCTCCAAGTATAATACGATGAGTAGGTACATTAAGATTCTGAACTGACAAATAATGATAAGGCACGACGGCTGAGACGCTCCTGCTCGTCTCACGACTCCTTCTCGTAACTGGTATACGTCCACGAATCTGATGATATAAAACAACGAATATGTGAGATTTATTTTGACCATTCTTCAGTGCACTTAAAACGAGAAAAATGTTAAGCTCGTAATAGCATTTCAATACTACTTCTATCCTCTAAGTGAGGTGAGGTAAAGTTGTGAAGTTTAAGACGAAATTAATATTGGAAGGTATCAAATAGCCTGAGCTGTAAAGTCATGTGGATGCATTTGACAGAATTTAGCTAATTAGAGGGACAGTAAAATCAAGTCATGACGGACTTTTCACCGCATTGCTCCCAAGAATTGAAATTATCATCAAGAGGTGCATAAATTCAAGGGCTGTCGTGACCAACAGAGCCTTCACGGTAAATCGGTCACGGTGTCGGTCACGTCAAGCTTTAACAGTGAGTCGGTCACCTGAGACTTAATGATGAGTTGGTTCCCTGAGACTTATGGGTGAGTCGGTCACCTGAGGCTTAAGGGTGAGTCGGTCACCTGAGGCTTAAGGGTGAGTCGGTCACCTGAGGCTTAAGGGTGAGTCGGTCACCGCGCGGCCGCCAGGAGCAGCGCCAGGCCGACAACGGCGCACTGCAGGCGAGGCACGAGCGCCACGCCCTCACCCGTCTGCACGGCCGCAGACTCCTCGCCTGCAAGGCAACAATCGCCACCAGGCGATCGGAATTAAATGCATGCGCTTTTGCTTTAATTAGCATAGAATTGCATTGAATAAAGTAATTATTTATGCACGTAATATATTCTGTACGATGGCTGGTATGCAGATTTTAGATCCAAGTTGAAAGAAATGGCAATTTGTTTGCCAAACAATTGAATTCATATCATATTTTTATATACATTGATGTATTTAAAACCATAAGGTAGTCGTATGCACTGCAGAACAGTTGTATTCTGGACGCGATTTCATTTAATATTTCTTAATCATTTGCAGTTTAGCATAAATATAAAATCACGTCGATTGTATGTTTACTCACCGTTAACGACGTGCACGATGACAAAAGCTGCATCAGCAAACTCTGGAGCGCAGGTGTAGTTGCCGGAGTCTGCCCTGATTGCGCGCGTGATAAAAAGCTTCGATGTTGTTCTTATGGGCGTCTTTTCGATCTCGAGGCTCACGCCGCCTCTGGGCGAGTCATAGTCGAGGCTGTTGGCGTTGCGGAACCACGACACGGCGCCCACGTTCTCCGAGTGGGTGTTGACGACGCACGTCAGGCTGATGGTAGACCCGTTCTGGATGTAGACTTCCGACGGTCCTTGTATACGGGCCTGCTGGACTGAAGTCCAAAGAAATGTAAACGGTATGAGAAACTCATGTGAAGAATGTTTTACGAAAAGTTCTCTCAAAACTAAAAAATACGGGACGGGTTGAAGAGAGTCTCAATTGATTTTTCTGCTGATGCACGAGAATAAAAACTTTCTTTTGACTCCCTTTTAAATGACTATTCATTTTAAACATACCCCCTCTCGCGCAGCGCCATACCACTCGCCTGAATCACTAAATTAATCTTCTTAGTATGGATTTTTCTAAGCGTTCTGTCTGTGTTTTCCGGATGGCCAAGACCAGCACAGACCCATTACATGACACCGCTTCTGGTCTTAAGAAAAGAAGGCAGCCGTTCATGCCTTACCTGGCCCAGCCGGGACCATCAAAGGAGATGATCTTCTTTACGAGAACGTCCAGCGGCCATGCTTGCTTTGTACTTCTCCCTTCATAAGACGCAATAAATCATGAGAGTGGACTGCATAAGGGCCTCTCGAGCATGTCTTGAGGACTATATTAGTCCGAAATACCGTGCCATTAAGGCCATCGAAATGAAATATTTCTTACTTTGAACTTCTGATAGATGCTTCAAGATGGATGGAATATCCTCTCGCGTGGATATTATTTTCGATATACTGCCATCTGCTCTCTACTGCACGTAAATATCCCATATTTTTCCCTTTTGATCGATGTGATCCTTGAGAGCCGTACTCGCCTCCAGCCTATAGCGAAATTTATTCTACCCATTTGAGGCATTTTCGAGAACGACGCTTCGCATGAGAAATGTCCGCTTCTATTCGAGTTCAATACTTCCAGCAATGAACCTCAAGCGCCAGGTTTGATATGGCGATGTATAGTCAGCTTTGGTTACTTACAATGAATTCAGCAGGGGATTATTTTCGTTTAGGTTGAGGTTTGATGATTACGATCAACAAAAATATATTTGGTATATTCTAATACGCATTCCAAATACCCGTCTCGTCAGTATATGTCAGCCACTCTGTATACTATAATATTGTTAATATAGGTAGAAAAACAGCTGGCTCACCCTCAACATTAAGAGTGACGGGAAGAGATATTTTTGGACTCGTCGACACTTGACACTCATAGACGCCGGCATCTCTGAAGGCTACGGGGGAGATCTGCAGAATCCATTCCTTGGTTTTGCGATTACGCACAACCTGGAGAAACGTTAATGGAATTTTTATACTAGGTTAAAATTATTTAAGGAATATTTCAAGAAATTAATTTGAGTTTATGATGGGCACTTGTTTAGCTTATATTTTTCAGCTTTGTGTCACTCACTGCGGTCAATGCCCAATATATAGGTTACTAAGTCGCACTAGTTACAAGAAATTAAAGTTCGAATGAGCGGAACTGGAAGTTCATGGTCAAATGTTTTGTGAATTAAATAAACTACGTTGTTTTTTACTTTATGTGTCCGGAGATTTCTCACAAGCGAGATATTAATATAGCATTAATTAAAAGTTTGATTTTCATCAAAAGAAAATTGAATGGGGAAAATGCGATTGGACCACAAAAAATAATAATGTCGCAAAGTAATGAGGATATAATAATAATTAACTTGTAATTCTGGCATTTTTAAATTTCTACCTAATAATGAAGCTAAAGCGTACTTTTTTGTCATGGTAGGGATAAGGTAATGAATGATTCATCCATTTTCAGTGCAAACTATGAGTTAAAAGTAATAAGTTAGACAAAGTTAATTTAAATGAACCGTTTTGCCGGTTTATCTCAAGTTTAATAAGATGGCCCGGCTCTTAAAAGGCCATTAATCAAAAGTTTGAAGTAAAAGAACTAGTAAAGGTTTCAGACTGATGGCGTCATAATTAAGTGGCGTTGGAGGCATTAATCATCACCAAAATTTACTAGAACGAAGCATCAGCTAAGGAAAGGTTGCTCATTTAGCACATTTCCCCAGACACGGCCGGCCGTAATTAAGGTACACTTTCTTCACAGTCTCTGCGCTGCAATAGATCAGCGTCACGCCTGCGCCTGAACTGCTACTGATACCAGCGTGGAGTCAAAAACCAAACTGGAAAATGTAGACGATTCTTAACACTTCTTCATGCACCCGCCCAATCAACAGTGAAAGAGAGATTGTTATAGTGGTAGATACTGCGCTCTCAAAAACGATTGCGTTTTGCTGGTTGAAGTTTCGTTTTGCTCTGCAGTGCCAATTGAACTGTCAGGCAATGAGCGGCGTAAATCACTGCCCAGGCTCGTCATCAATCATCGGTTTTCCGCGGCTTTGCAGAAATTTGACAGCAAGTCTCGATGCGAGTCGAGGGACTTATTGGGCTGAGTGAGGCTTGGCAAGATTTTCTTGCTATTTTCATGGAGGTGAGTGGGAAGTGATTGCGCGAAAATGTTCAACATTTGAAACAGGTAGAAAGTTAATTGTTGAAAGTTGATTTGAACCTGGATTGATGAACAGTTGTTGTTTTTTTTCTTTGGATTTCTCCCAGGCTTGCGGATTACGAAAGTTTTAGATCTTGAGAAGCAAAGTAATGTCTTGCATCAAATCGTTGACTAAAAAAATTATTGTGCTAACGTTATAACGAAGCATTTGTATGATAAATGTGGAGTATACTTTTCGACACGAACCATATAAGTATTTTTGAGCATTCAGTATGAATTTATCGTGTTTGCCCCTTAAAATTCCAATCTAAAATAATTCGTCTCCGGTAATTTATTTGAAATTATATTTTGCTTGAGAGATGAGAGGGGAAGCGAAATGTTCACCACAGATAGTTTCATTGCAAGTTTTGCAATGACTGATTATAAATGCATGAATATTGTCCTCAATTGAGTCCTGCAGGTGTGTAGATATATTCAATAGCCTTTCAATAAAATTATAACGAGACTTCTTTTGAAATTATCAATGTAAGCATTTATTAGTTTGCAGTCGCGCGAAATCATTGATTTAAAGTAGTAGTTGCGTAAACAACCACTTAAACTAGGAAAAATCTGTCAAATCTATCGTAAACTGGAACTCGATAACCGGACCTGCGAATTTAGTCCTTGGAATTCGGTCGAATGGGTCTATTCTATTGATATTTCAAGCTCCATATTTTCAGCATACATCTGGATAGTTCAATTCTTAATTACTATCACATGACATTTTCACGCAAGTCTGACAGAAAATGAAAACAATTAATAACTTGTAATTTTTCACAAAAATAGTGCACCGACACTTTGCAGGCTTGGAAAATGCATTAAAATCAAGCTTATTGTCTGAAGACAATACCCGTAATTCAGGAGATTCAGTAGCACCACCAAATTAAGACTAGTTCACCAAGAACGTAAATATCGTTACGCCAAGAATTTCATTATTCGTAACATTATAGGCTCACTGTAAAGCGGGCGTCACTGGTGTACGTTGAGACGCCCAGGGTGAGGATGTGGATATCACGTTTGCGTATCCAAGTTACCTGATCGAGAAGAACGTTCTGCGTTTAGAACGTTAGCAGATGATTAGTCTTGGGTAGATAATTGTACATTGTTTAAGGTAAATGTTTCAGTATCTAGTGCTAAATTGATTTAATTGTGAAGGGTAGAATTGCCTGAGGAATATTAGAACTAATGTCTCTTCTTATGCAGTCATGAGTTGCATTTGGTCGAGCAATTTTTGTAATTAAACAAACGCAACAGATGAACTCGAGAAATTGATAATTTTCATCTGAAGAAGGCTACAAATTAAACGATTTTTCAAATCTAAGATTTATCTCGGAGAATTGTTCCCAATAATACAATAAAATGAAGCGCTAATAAAAAATAATTAGTTAGATTTTCATTCTGGCTGTATTTTAGTCTTCGTAACCGTCTTAATTTATTTTCTCTTCCGCGACCAATTGTTGCAAGAAAACAATTTGTGGATTTTTTCTTATGTTCAATGGTGAAGGAAGGAGAAAGTATGAAACTCTGCCATTCGGCTTTTTAAGACACTACATTAAAAGCCCCAAATGTTCGAGATCATTTAATAATGGACACAAGCATAATATTATTTACTAATAATAATCTTAATATCTTAAATAATAATAATAATAAAATCAGTTCCTGAAATCTATTCAAATAATTGAATGATTATTCATTAATATCAATAATTTTTGGTTCATTTCTAGATATTCAAGTCCTTAATTCAACATGTTTGTTTTTATGATAAATTGCAGAATTCGGGACACGAATAAACAAATTATAAATTACCAATAAAATTGAATGAGTTTCCAAAGATTTAATCATTGATTTTGACATGAAACGACCCACGTCTTTTTGTCCGAGATTGATGACCCTGCAGGGGAGTCTGGCGGTCTGTCCGACGACAGCGGTGACGTTGGTAGGAGTCATGTCGTCGAAGTAAGCGTCCTTGGTGTTAGGGCGTCCCCAGATGATGTGGTGGCCGCTCTGTGCGACGTCGCTCTCCTCCAGCGAGTTGTACGGCGTTGACGCTGCTAGGCTCATGGGCAGCTCGAGCGAGTCTTCGCCGCTACACGTCGCTGCAAGAACGAGAGGCAGTTTTTCAAAGCTGGTGATTTCTGTGCCGATATTATTAACAGTTTTGAATGAATAAAATTGTACATGATTGCCGAATGTAACTTGGAACTCTTCGTTTAAGTGCAATATGCCCGTACAAAATTTTTAGCAAGATGTTAGATTTTCCGGAAATATTTAATAAGAATTTTTTTATTAGTCGTATATATGTTTCAACATAAAATAATATTTAAAAATTTGAGCGATTCAACTATTTAGAAAATACTTCGTGTTTTAAAATGAAATGTATAGAACATAACACAATTTACGTGAGAGAAATAATTTAAAATATCGAAATGTCAGGCCCACGTTTAAAACTGGAAATTCAAAACGAGTTCAGACGCAAGGTTTAAATTCTTTTTTAGGTGCAACATTTGCCAAGCGAGGCTTTGAGAGTGAAAATAAAATGTGCAGCTCGAGAGTAAAAAAACCACTTGCCTTTCAGCCTCAACCAAATAAGTGAGAAAAGGTGACAAATAAATGCACGAATGTATATTATTGTTACATTGTATTGTTATTGGAAGCATCAGTATATGTTCATGTGCTGATTAATTACACTTGTGTCTTGTGTCAATAAATTAGTCCGATGCTTGCTGTTAATATAAGATACATTAATGTCTACTATTTCTTTTAAAAGTAGTTTCTACAATTTCCTTTTCATTTGCAACAACCCTCAAGAAAATAGCAGTCAAAAAATTTATTCCCATTGTAAATTTTTGGCAAGAAATAGAGGACAAGAACTGGCAAATTTCCTCACATTACCGCCATCATTATGCAGGCAAAGAAATGGAAGCCGTTTTATTCTCGACAGACAGACAGAAAGAAGCCAGCAAATCCCAGGAATTGGTGCCAGCAGGCGCAGTAAAACTCGGGTTTGGCGCATAAGCCGAACGCGTGAACGTCGCATTGATCCGCAAAATTCACAAAAATTTAGCAGCACGAGTAACTCACTCGAGCGGAATATATGAACGCTACCGAGTTGATGTAACGAATTGACTATACGAGACAGAAATGAGAAGGGAAGACCGAGCAAGAAACTCATAACTTTCGCCGAGAAAGAGTTCATGTTTGCTCTCGTTGGGGATGAGCAGATTGGAACATTTGGCCCCCTCAATGATCGGGGGAGTTTGGGGGATGACGGCTAACGAGGGGAAAGCCATCAAGGACGGGCAAAACAGTGGGCTGGCTGCGCAGCTAAAGAGCTAGTTTCGAGATTGCGCGCAATGACTGCAAATGCTGGCGAGGCAGCCAAGTTGGAGGAGTTGGAAGAACCAGAGATGATGAAGCGCCGGCGCCAATGAGTGATGATGCATCACGAGGCTTGGACGGTTCGTGATACGATTTCCCGGGTGCCGTTGCGGCAAGCTAAAAGGGGGAGGAAGCTCGTGGCAGAATACAGCTGCCCGATTTTACTAGCGGAATTCGTTGGCAAAAGCTTTCTTCTCTCAGTGAAAACGACTTCAGAAGCTGCCTCATCATGGCTGGGTTAAACGGCCGGTCGCTGAGAGATGAGGCTATGAATTCCAAGCGGTGCAGCCGTCTAAATCCCGACTAAGCGACGGCAATCTTTTGGACCAATAGTAAAAAGAGGGCCAACGATAGTTTAATTTTTTATATTACTTAGAAAATATATGAAAATTTCTGATTGGCTGCTAAACAATTTCGAGCTCTCATGTTTTACCATCTAAGAATATGGAAACCATATTTATTCTGCTAGCAATTGCTCAAGCTGCTACTTATAGTGTGGTAAATAACACAATACATTACAGAAATTAATTAATTCGGACTTTATTATATCCGAAACTAAACTTTATTCAGAGAGTCTCAGTTTAACTACTAACAAAATTCATTCCTTACTGATTCTTGTCTGTTATATACGTAGTTCAGTCCCAAACACATCAATTGAAATTTTGAGTGAACAATATTCATTGACGCCCAATCAAATGATGTCTGACAGTAAGCAAGGAATGAAAACAAGATATTTTACCTACTGATTTATCTGTCAAAGAACGAACGAAGCGCACATTTTTAGAACAAAATTTCAATCAAGTCGGGAATTTTGGAAATCAATTCAACCTATTTTTAGTTAAACTAAACGAAAGATATTTTTCTTAGTTTTCTATTAAAAATATTTGAATTCATTCTAACTGAAAACATTAGAATTTCACCTTGAAAAATATCGCAGATTCATTACAAACAACTAGAAAACTAGAAACAGAGTTTTTGTAAGGCATATCTTGCACAGCGACTACAGCAGAGCTGGACAGAGGTGCAGTGAAAGCGAACCTAATCATCAGCCGAAGTTTTCAATAGACGCACGCGCTTCCCAACTCAATTACGGAAAGTACTACCAAACTGGTCTCCGCGGGTCGACAACTTCTGGGAAGTCTCGTTAAGCCCAAGAGTCACAAACTTTTAGACAATCGACAGAACAGTCGGTAAGATCGAAACAAATTATTTTATAGATTCGTATCGTCATAGCATTAAGGCAGAAGCCACGCGGCAGGTTACAAAATAAATTACCTAAGTGACATCGGCGCAAATTGATGGGCTATGTTGTTCTGGTTAATCTCGTTGCAACGGTTAAAAATTGTCATTATTGGCTGGTACAATTCGTATTTAACTAGATCTTCATCCAATTTGGTCAAGGCGTATTATTTTGTGAATAGATTCTATCAACTAGTTTGATATGTGTACGAATTAATTTAATAAAACATATTTTTCATCTGTATTCTTTTTCTATATTTTCACCTATATTTTTTTCTAGATTTTTCATCTATATTCTTTATATATTTTTCTATGCAACACATTTACATAGTAATGCATCATCCAGTATCCATATACATTACAGTAAGTAATTAATTGGGACTTTATTTTTTTCTGAAACTAAGCTCGATTCCAGAGCGTTTCAGTTTAACTAACAAAATATATTCATTTCTGATTCTTGCCTGGTGATGATGTACTAAACTTGTATCAAACTTGAATGTTCAATTCAAGGATTATTCAATCAATGTCCTAAAGTTCTGCTCTCAAAATAGTTGTTTGAAAAAATAATTTTTGAATTGGTAAAAATTTTTGGAATTTGATGCAGCATCAGAACGGTTCAGTATTTTTTTCGTTGAACAAATTTTAACGAACAAGTCAGAGTTGAATATGCGCATGATGAAACCTGCTCCCTTGTATGTCGCTACAACGTGAGAGCTCCCGCGAGCTACCGCTTGCATGACACAAACATATTTTTTAAAGACATTCTTCAACCCTCTGACTTGCAAACATATCTACGATTTAGATTAAAATGACTGGCAAAAATTTTACTCATCGTTACGTTAGGAGCAGAACTTGTGGCTTGTCAACAAATCATCGATTCATTTTAACACGATTTATGGGAAATTTTATGCCCATCGCTTCGTTGACAGCGGTATTTGTACCCACACGAATCTCTTGTCACGTTGTAATTGGAATTTATTTGGTCTAGAAGTCAAGTGAACATCGTTCGCTAAAATAGTGGAAGGCGGCTCAATAACTTTATGAAATTTCTGTTTTCAATTCAAGGATGTATAATACATCACGATTATGAGGCATCGTGTGCACTGCCGGAAGCAGCCCGTCGATCGCTGAGGAGTGACAGCTTCGCACAAGCAGCCATTAACTAATTGAGCGCTGTGGAACCTCAACCGATCGATGCCGGCGTCTCCTTCAGTGCTAATCGAACGACGTTTTCAAAATTGTCGTCGTAACTATTGCGGATTCGTAAAAACAAACTATCCGAAAGTATAAAATGTTTTTCCATGAAATTGTGGATAGGTATTCGCAAATAATCGATCGTTACTTCTTCACTAATAACTTATTCGTTTCGTACAATTTTCATAATCCCGTTGCAATAACCCCCATAATATCTTTCACATAATCAGGTAAATTATTTTCGGAATGGAGCCCGTTTGTAAAGAAAAGTCTTATGCCTGCCCCCATCTAACATGGAGCTTCCATTCATTTCCCGAAATTAAATTCGGGCAATTTGAAATTCGGAGCATACTTTTTTTAATTATGACGGAAGCTACATTTTTTAAGCTAAGAATTGCGTATAAATTTTTAATCCGATTTTTCTCGTCGTTCAGCAATACCTCGGAGTTTCCCCCCGAGATTACTTCACAAAGTATAAAATTTTAGGTTCAGATAATATCTCGACCCCGAAAGCATTGGGGACTTGCGCCCGAATAGCCCATTTACATATACAATGTCGGAATAATCAATCAATATCCTAAAGTTATGCCCTTAAAGTAGTTTAAGGGCATAAAATAATTCCTGAATTGGTAATAATTTTTGGAATTTGATGCAACATTAGAACGGTTCAGTATTTTTTTTCATTAAACGAATTTCAACAATCAAAAAGAAAGTAAAAACATCAATTCTCAGTAGGAACATTTTTCATGCAACAAACGTATGATAGCATTCTAGGCAAGTCAATGTTTTTTACTTAGACATCTCCTCTGCTTAAAATAGTTCATAAATAGTATCGACAAAATATAAATCGGTCATCATTTCCAGATCACTCATGAACTCTATCATTATTCTCAATCTCAAACAAGCCACGATATAGCGAGGCTACTTATACTAGTTTACACTGCAATATTGAATTCATTCTTCAAGAAATTATATTATATTTTTATAAAATTGCCCGTTTTTTCACGTTGTATGTAAATGGTGCCTTGGTGTGCCATGGATGAAAAAAGCAGCAGCTCGATCAGAACATTACAAGCTTTTCATTGAAAGAGAGAAGAACGAGGAAGCAGTGTACGCGCTGTCATGCAAATGCGTGACCGAGTCTAAAGGTCACAAATTTTATGGTTTGTGCGTCCGAGGTTAGGCAAAGTTCCTGAATATCTTTGGCCTGCAAAAGAAAATCGACCGTTAAACTTTTTTGTCGCTGTGATGAAAGGCCTTACAATTGACCATGTACATGTTTGATGATAAATTCTACAGCAAACTTTTATGGGCTCTTTCTGCCTTGTAGTAATCATCATTAAACTGCTCATGAAATTCTGAACCATGACTGTGTTCCTGACCTTGATCTATCGAATTGAATATTTTTTCATTTCTTTTGTTAAACGATTCATTGGTTGCTAGACCGCTGCTCTTCAGTTGTTGTAACAATCGATCCTGAATAAATAAAATTTTAACGTATTGAATGTGGGTATAAATATATGGTATTTATGGGTACATGCATATATCCCGCATTTTGCATGTAAATTCAGTCTTCTGAGTAATGTAACCGTTCAGCCGCTTGTAATGCACGCTACGAAACAGAAATAGAGACATATTTATGTAACCAACCTGCGCTAATGCATGTCTGTGTTATGAAATTGTAGCTCACAATGGGCGATGCGCATTGTGGTCGGAGTGAATACGTTTAAGTATGCGCGCAGCAAAGACAGATGGTATCTGCAGTGGCGCTTGTTGGCCAATTTACGGCAGACTTAGCACGGTTATAAATGAGGACAGCGAGAGCGATGCACGCAACGTTCCTGACGGTCACAGTAATTACTCGGAACCTGTGGCTAACACGACCTGCTTGTCTCAACATAAGACTTCACTTGAATAATTCTATCGTGTGGCTAACACCACAATAATTCAAATGAAAACACCCAACGTCACACTAAGTAAGACGTTCGACTTGTTTTTAAGTTCGATACAATGCAAGGTTGCTCGAAGAGTTGTGTTTACAATGTTTTATACTCCTAAGACTATAAAAATAGCAGAATATGGTCCTCAGATCGGACACCAATCATCCAAACTTTAATCCCTCACATTTGTTTTAAAACAGCTCATGTGTTATTTCGTACAGTAATTGCAAACAACTACAAGGTTCGTAAATTGAATTTCAGAGTTAGATTCCAATGCAAGCCTACACTAGATTGTTCGGTATTGTGACTTGCGCATATTGACTTGAGCTCACGCATGGAGAAAGATTACAACAGAGCATCTAGATTTAGATTGCATGGCTTCATACAGAATACGAGCCTGCAACAAAAGCAAACACATAAAATGTTTCGTTGAGAAAAGCTAACGTATCTATGTGAGCTTCAATGACTGAAAGGTTCTAATCTAAAAATAAGAATAGCTCGAGCATAAATACTTAGAATTTTCATAATATTTCTTATATGAAAGTCGATAAACAAGAAAGGATAATGTTATTGCATTGCTATAGTGCAGGTCATTATTGGCACTGAGAAATTCAACAATGAAACTAGACTGCGATTTGTCTCACAAAAAACTCGAAGAGAAAAGATTTGACTCGGAATAAAATCACTCTTTATTTAGAAGCCAATTATTTTTTTACTTTAAAGGGATCTGCATTGAAAAGAATGCGATTGGATTTATGATGATAAAAGGCCGCGGATCTGAATGGATTCCAATACTGCGGCAGTTTTGTATGTTGTAATTATAGGAGCTAGCGTACATTATCCAGTTGTGTCAACTCTTAGAATTAAACCTGGATCGTGGTGTAGCTGGAGCAGTGATGACCAAAATCGCAGAATAATATCGTAATAAAGCAGCGATGACTACGCTATCGTAGAATAATATACATTTATTGTATAGAGAATCAAATTAAAAAGTTCTGTTGAGATGAAACGAAATTATATATGACCCGCTTCATGGGCGACGAACGAATCTAAAACTTTCATGCAGAGTTGTAGCAATCAATTGTCAAGACTTCGCTACAGATTAAAAGAAAATATTCTGACGTCCACGCATAGTGATGGAGGACAATAGTTCTCTATTGGATTAACCTGAGCATTGAACGGATAAAAGCCAGTGTTTATCACCGGTAGCCTGAATCGTTGTACGAAAATGGTGCCCTGCAAGTCCGTCAATAAATCGTGAGATTGGCAACCGTGATGCCGTTATTATGGCTGCGAGACGCGGACGATTGGGTGAGAAATGAGCACGCTGGCTCGGTGCACGCTATACCGCCTCGCAACTTCCACACACAATGGCTGGCTCGGTGCACGCTATACCGACTCGCAACTTCCTCACACAATGGCTGTCTCGGTGCACGCTATACCGACTCGCAACTTCTACACATAATGGCTGNTGCAACTTCCACACATAATAGCTGTCTCGGTGCAGGCTATATCGCCTTGCAACTTCCACTTACAATAGCTGTCTCGGTGCAGGCTATTTCGCCTTGCAACTTCCACATACAATGGCTGGCACGGTGCAGGCTATACCGCCTTGCAACTTCCACTTACAATAGCTGTCTCGGTGCAGGCTATACCGCCTTGCAACTTCCACACATAATAGCTGTCTCGGTGCACGCTATACCGCCTTGCAACTTCCACACATAATAGCTGTCTCGGTGCAGGCTATATCGCCTTGCAACTTCCACATACAATGGCTGGCTCGATTTAAGTTTACTCGAACTCTTTGAGTAAATTAGTGTACATTTGAAAGCGCGTGAATACTTTTTGAATACTGTAACTACAATGAACGTAAATAATTAGAATGGCCAGAAAATAATTAGAATACATTTGTCAATAAAATGTCCAAATACGTATCCAGCCACTCACTGGAAATGAACCAAGGTTCGCTCTCAGGGGTATATTCTTCAAATACCATTCATTTATTCTTAATAGCACCCAGGAACGCTGATGTGCTTGCAATATTCTCATCGAGCAGTGGCCGTCCGACGGCATTGTGCAATTGTCATTGTGTTGATGCCATCAGTTCTGCTGTCCGCGCGGTTGTGTGAAAGTAAAACCGCAGTGAAGGAAATGACATTGGGCCGTTGCTGTAGAGTAGAATGCATCATGCCCACCGTATATTCAAGATCTGTTCCCGCAGGTACGGGAGACATCGTTGGTCAGAGTAGTTCCGGCTAAAAACATAAACCTCTATGTTTTAGGCTTTATGTTAAAAACATAGAAAACAAATGAATTTTATTTGCGTTTCCTAGGACAATTCATCTCCCCCGCGTAACTTTGTAGTCATCTTTTGATCATATTTTAATTCGTGTAGTTTGGACCGAATTCGGAAATTATGGTCATTTCCTTTGCTTTTAAATACTTGGCTAATATGCGATTAAAGTGCAATGATTATATAAATAATAAAATGAACCACTTGTAATTTTTATTGCCACAAATAAGCAATATTATGCTGAGGGCAAACGAACTAATCCAATTAATGTTGGTTTGCTAACCTATAACTACCGAGGGCATTTCACGAACAGCATTACCCTATAACGGAATTTCTTACCTGGAATTAAAGCCAATAAGACTGCCAGCATCATCGGATCCCGAATAAAATTTCGAGTCGAATACATCTTGAAATTTGTCCGTAAATGAGTTCCGATAGAGTCAGTCAGTTCCACACTAACCGGCAAACCACGAAGTTTTGTAAAGTTTCTGAGTGTCTTTAGTAGCAGCGGGTTATTTTTCAAGAACAGTGAACACTTTCGGAAAGTATTTCAGCGTTACAGTTGCTAGTTTGTTGAATTGAAATCGAGGTTGGCATTTGACTGCACTTTTTTATGCATTTAATTACCAACGTAACGGTACTTCATATTAAAAATTGTCAGGGAACATCACTAAAGTCTACTGAATTTTGAACCTAATCAAGTAGTGAGCTCCAGTTTCCAAGAGGAATCAATCTCGCTGACTCAGCTGGTATCAGAGAAGGTTAGGTCAACACTTAAGTTCTATTTTGGTCTGATCTAATTCAGTGGAGCTGGGTCTACAGGCCAGAAGAATTTGCCTTGAGCGTGACGCAAGACAGCCTTGGCTATGTCTTAATAGTGGCACAAGGTCGTGGAATTAATTAACTTGCTTTGCAGTTCCAGATCGTTAACTTGGAATTCATGGTCGTCTCAAGACACTGAAGAGAATCCTTTGGATTGCGGGAATGCGGATCTGTAATGTGGTAAGAGTTTTCAATCGTCCTCTTTGCCCACCAGTGAGCATTACATGAGCGCATGAGGAAACGCGGCTTTCAATTCTCTAGATGGCAGATCGTGTCGTTTGTAAGCTTAAAATCAAGACAAAATTCATTTAAATACACGATCACTAGCAAATGAATATTCACTTTTGCCCTCTTTTATTTACACATCATTGTAATCCTACTAGAAGCAATATTTCCGTCACATTCGAACTGTCCACCAAAGTCAACGTCCAGCTGAGGAACCAATTTTTTCGTGATGAAATATATTGACTCCTGTAGTGCTGTACGAGCTGCACGCGATAAGTTGACAAACGATAAACTTTAGGGCCAGAAAGCCCACGTTCAGCACGATTCCAGAGTAAAATATTTACCAGTACAAGAAATAAGACAATTTTTACGAAAGTGGAAAATAAATCAATTGACCAATAATGTCTTGCAGACAAGCAAAAATTGAAAAAATAGGAGTTTTTTGAGAAATTTAGCCTAGATGATAATACATGGGGACCGAACGACCCGAGGTAAGCAGGTGAAGCAAAGTCAAGCGAGGGCGAGAGCGCACCTTCGGCCGGTACGTCAACGCGTGGACTGCCGTCGACGTCGGCCTCCCGAGCCCGGAGCGTCAGCGCGCAGGCTCGGCGGGCTTCGCTCTACTCCGACCCCCTCNCCCCCCCGCGATGCCTCAACTCACAAAATTCCTCGTCGGGAATTACTTTAATGTTATTCTTTACCCGATACTGGTTTCGTATTTCCAATGAATTCAATGTGAATTATTATGATTTGGGTACTAAAAATGTTCAAACTGTAGATCTTGACACATCAGTCGCCTACCAGAAATCTGCACTGCACAGTGTTTCGCTCGATAAAAAAACATATAACATAGATAAAAAACTTGTAGGTAACATATTATTTATGTTGCCTATGCATTAGCTTCAAATTTGCAAGATTTTATGCATGAAAACATTGAACCTCGATTTCAGTCGAAGAGTTTACTCTGCATTTCCTTGTCGAGTCATTGCTATGAAATGTTCCCCTTTCTGTAAGCGGTTCACGTTCTCGCTTCGCTTTTAAGAAGACGTGAGCTCTGCCTTTAGTTTACATCCACGCGCAGTTTTAATTTGGCTCTTTATTATGCATGATAATGCTTGCATGTACGGTAGAAGAACAAGCGAGCAGAGCGATGCTGGCCTCATATGAGCTATGTCTGTGATGCGTTGTTAATGAAAAATAATATTTGAGCTATTAACCTTCATTCATAATGCTCATAAATTACACACGATGAAGTTATTTAGTTTGAAGCACGTCACGAGCTTCAATGCTTATTATAACATCGTTCCCACTCGATGGATGACTTTTTTATTTTTATTCATTTATTTTATTAGTAGCATTTTTCACAGGCCTCTGAAACAGTTTGATGCATCATAAATATATTTGAGAGTATTTAGAAATTATATTCTCTTTGAATTACAAATAGAGCGATGGGCAAATTAATATACATAATTTGTTGTGAACATCTAGCATTCAAATCACACAACATTACGACGTAGATTTAATTCCCATTATTTGATGAAATTTCGTCTTTATTAGTTCGTCGCAGGTAGTTTCAATGACAGAAAATATATACGGCACTATGCTTAAAAATTTCCTATTGCACCTGAAATTTCTTGTTTATGACAAAGCAGGCCTCGCCAATTTCCCGATCAACATTGGAGTCTGAATCAGTTCATCTACAAGCTTCTTTGAGTCGTTTAGATCTAAATTGTTCAAGCACTAAAATATTTATTTATCACCCTTTTCGAACATCATTTTCAACAATACCCGCCGGTTTTGCAATAATTTTTTATTCACAAATGTTATTGTGGGATCGTTGATATCACTGATTATTTCAGAAAAATTTAACTTCTATGTTTGAAAAAAATATTTGTTTTTATTTTTTCACACACTTTACTCATATGATTTAGAACTAACTTAGGGTTAGGAAAATACATTACTTCATGAAGGAAACATCTTGAGCATTCTTTCTTATGTTTTCTATTATTATCGCCTAGAATCACATAAATAATCTATTATAATTATATTATAAATAATCTTTATTTCTATTATAATCGACTAGAATCGCCTCTTTAAAACTTATTCGCTCGCATTTATCAGCAAGTGGATAATAACAGCCGCCAGGATCTACGACGAGTCTCTCGTAGCAGCCGACGCTAGCAACTGATTTTCACAGGATTAATCCTACACGCCAAATTTAATTAGACTTGTTAGCCCTGGCCGACGTCAGCAACACCAGCGGCAGAACTTATAGTTTAATGTCTCCTGCAAGAACCAATTTATGTCAGTAGTCTGGTAATTCACTGCTAAAATGGTGAAAAATTAATTGCATGTAATAATAACAACTTCACAATTTAAGTTGTATCACCGTCCCGAATAACATCGATCTTGTCAATAATATATGGAAGGTTTGCCTGAAAAGACGTATCAGGCAAACCTTCCTAGAAGGTGTGAAGAAATAATAATTCCATGCAGGTGCGTTATGGAATAAAAATTATTTTCCGCTACAGAGCCCTCCCTGCACCACTCCACTCGGGAATGAACTGGGATCATTTATTTCTAAAAAAAACGTTTCAAATGACCGAGCACTAAATTTATTGTTGTAGGAGACCCCAAATTTGAAAAGCTTTTCTTAATTTCACTCCGATTGCTCGTAATGTCATACAGTTAAATTTATCCAATCAATGCCAACTTAGTCCTAAATCTTTTTGAATAAATGATAACTTAACTTCACTCTGGCAAATTTTTAATTGTATTTACTAATATTAAACACTGCAGGAATTAAAACTCACTCAGTAGTCTAACGCTATTCGGCTTCGAGGTGAATAAAGTTCCAGCATTACATAACGTTGAGGCTATCATCAGAACAAGGCAGAGATTTTTAGCGATGAGAGGACGTTGGAAACTCTTTCACAAACGAGTTAATTAGTGGAACTGGGCGGGACCAATGAGCGCCTTTTTACCCATGCCTTTATGCAGTGCATTGTGGCGAGCGAGCGTCCCGGCCTTCGCTGCACGGTATTTGAGAGCTGAATGCAGCCTCCTTGATGAGGCTTCATTAGTGCATCGGCAAAATATCGCGTGATCAGAATCGAGAATTTAAAAAATTGCTTCCACGATAGAAATGCAAGGCTTTGGCGCTGAGTTTCACTCGTCCGTGGAGTCCCTCAATAGAAGTTTTTATGATGTAACATGGAGCTTCAGTGAAAAATATTTCTCGTAAGCTGAACAACTTAAAATTACGAAGTGTGGAAATAACATGTATGAAAACGCTGCTTTTACTTTGCTCCGATATAAGTTACATGTTTTTTCATGTTTGGCCCTTGGGAAAAAATTATTGACCTTATCCAGGATAACTATTAGAGCTCCAGTGAAAGAATTTCAGGCTTCATACCAGTGAAAGAATTTCAGGTTTCATATCAAAAAAATATAACTCAGTACTCACTGCAGTGAGTGGAAGAGAACGCATTTTCTCGTCGACGAAAACGTGAAGTCACGGACGGACAGACAGACAGACAGACGGACGGACATGACGAGCACAATAGCGCCTTTTTTCAATAAATGAGAAAATACACTAAAAATTGCCCGTAATAGAGATACGACGGCAAAACCATATGCCAAGAACTAATTAACATATGACTACGCTAATCCTTTGTGAAGCACGCTCGCTGATCGCTCTCGGTGCTGTCAATGATGACTTCGAGAACACGAACGAATTCTTTAATTGAAGCTCGCCTCATCTATTATACAATTTAATAACCAATAATTGCTGAAAACTTGAGAACAACAGATTAATTATTGACACCATTTAGTAGTTCTAATTTACTTCTAATAAGAGACTGTTCTGCAAAAATATATTTATTTGCATTTTGCACTACATACATAAATTCATTACAAAAATATAATGGTAAAAATAATTTTTAACGTTTACACTACTGATAATAAAATTGGTAAACGTATACAATTTCTGCCAATCCGATTTGTGCAAAACTGACTGACTGATTGACTGAATATGTCAATTCCTGCCAATTGATTGAATGCAGTGACGGTCAATATTATGGCAAGCACTCTATTTGAATGTAACTATAACTGAACGGATTAGAGTTATGCTCCTCATTGACCTTTCTTCCATTCTGATAATTCGAATCATTTGACTCTGTATTGCCGATTTAGCTGCGAATTGAATTGTTGTGAATGCATTAATGGTGACACGACTGACAAATGAGCTAATACGAGCGCATATAATTCACTGCATTCTTCGGGCCAGCAGAGCCACTCGATATCCAGAAGAGTTTCAATGGTGCGCCATAATTGCGGACAAACACTCAGCGGATGGCCGTCACGAGGCCCGGTGGCGCACTAATCTGGCCTTTTAGTTGCCATATTGCAGCCACACGAGCCTCCATTAATCTCAAGGGGCCCTAAAGTCGAAGGTTATACCTCAATTTCTGCGCTTCATGATGAATCTCTTTACTGGGGCCTGCAGAGCGGTGCGCGATCAATCGAGTCGAGCGACTGCGGCAATACAAATAACCTTGGAATTTTTTAATTCATAGGGTCTGCGTCTCAAATTAAAAAAAGTTACTTGCTAGAAAATTCGATGATTGTTGATGTGAATGAATGTTAATACCAGTAACAAGTTTCGATTGATACATAAAGGGAGTTTTTACACAGGATGATTCATAGCAACTTCCTATTTCGTATTTCAAGCCAAGCAGCCAGATGTTTTAGAACACGGGCGCAGAGTATATCATTTGGAAAGCAAGGTCATGAAGTTTTTTGTCCTGCCTAGTCAGTTGCAACTATGCATAGGACCAGTGAACAGCGTGCGTTTGCTGTCGCTTGATGTTTGCTTTCTTTTCTGATGACCGTTCCATTATCGCTACTGAACAAGCAATCTGTGAGCGGTTTCGTGTTCGTTCTTCATGTCGGGTTCATGATCGGAAATCGATTGTTACGTGGGTTGAAACGATTAGGGCAAGTGGAAGTGTTTATCATGAATAAATTGTTTACAAGACCGTCTAAGGACCCTACCTATTTCGAAGAATAACATACGCAAAGCCATCGCCAACATACCCGTCATATTTCTTCTGCGAGTGGTAATGGAAATTCAAAATCAATCAAAACTGAATCAATTGATCAAGGGAGTCGCCATTTACCCGGTTTCATCTTTAAAACTAAGTGATACAAAAATTCAGGCTATTTATTTTTCAATAAAATTTATTTGGTAATACTATCATTACCAGTTTTTTTTATTGAGCTTTGAAATCAGGAAGTTTCCGTGCAATAAGCGTTGCCGCAAAGTGACTTTTTGCGAATTTTTGGGGGTTCACGATTTTTTTATGGGGGCATAGGCATCAGTGTAAATCTACGGATTTCGCTCCTGGGATTTAAGTTACTTTTTGACAGCACACGTAATTAAAATGAAAGGTAGGTTCTACAAGCCAAATTTCATAAAGCTTCTAATCTTTTTTTCTTTAATCATCATGGTATGCATTTCAACATGTTACTTTATCGTAGCATCA